TGTGGTGCCTTAGACGACAGGGACAGATGTTTCTTCTATCACACGTTTATATGAACGTGCATTACCTATAATTACAATCCATAGGACATGATTGATAAGAGGGTTAAACATTGGAGAACATCTTAATGCTATCTAAATGATAAATGCGGATTTCGTGAATAACCAATCACAGAAACAGTGACCCATCGCACACACACTCCCGTCGTACATTGTTTAACACACGAACTGACGTGTTTAAAGTGGTGGCCCGTGTCATGGATTACGATTCCATTAACAATGTAAGAATTTGTATCCAAAGGCGACAGATGTATTCTCTCGCTAGTATAGTTTATCTAACGCTGACTGTGAAATTAACGTTTGAAGATCCTTTAAATAATCACCAACCTGTCCCCGTGGCTGACGAGAAAACCTCTTTAATGCCTACGTTCTTTGAAAGTCGCTTTTAGAAGAGAAAAACTTTTCTTTTCCCCGCCTCATAAATAATCCCTAATCGCACGTCCGCTGATGCTAATGGGCCATTCTGGGTTTGGATTTGTAAATTTTATTGGGAATGCGTTTGCACTGCGATGCATAAATGTTGACAGAAGCCTCGCGCGGGCTGGTAAGATGCGATTAGTGCCGCAAGGACGAAATATACTGGTTCCTGTTGCGAGTAAAGGTCAACACACGGAAACATATCCCCACGTCTTGTCACCGACTCAGTGTGTGGTACGACCTTGTCTGTCAGTAACAGAACCAGCATTCAGAATGCAGACCGGGTCTATAAGCATCCATCAGTCACTGCAGTGCGTTGCCATCAAACCTGTGGTTTCGCTTCCTGATAACAAGTCGCGAAAAGAGCACCTCATTTGCTCCTAAAGCAAATTGTAATCAATTTCTCGATGTCAGCATTCTCCAATCCCTGGTGCAAATTCTCGAGCGGCTATTTTATTACGAGATACCCAGTTTATCTCCGAGAGAGTGAGCTGTGATAACAGGCTCTTACTATCATAATGGCAGTGTTACATGCTCAATCTTTAATAAATATGTATGACTGGTTACCGGCGGTGCTTAAATGAAATACTAGAAGAAGTAAGATTAATTATGATCACACAGTTCTTCAGATGCGTGTTGGACGGAGTCGGAGTCAGATTCAAATGAATACGGGGTTATTTAAATGCCCGTGCTATTTTGAAATTAAATGAAATTAGGAACTTGGAAAATGTCTCTTTATGCATTTTTGGATGGGTATATGGTTGAATCATTGCCGATGCGATGTTAAGCATTATCTGTGTCGCTGTAAGAAGCTTATACCATACTTCAATGCACATAATGTTTTTGTATGTAAATAGGATCCCGGGGTCAGTTGGAAGACTTTAGCAATTGCAATATGTCTAACAGATATAGGAATAATAAACAGTTGTTGACGTAAAAAGGGCGCTTTTGTACCACACAGATGTGTTCGCTTGCCACAGCGGAAGACCCGTTTCGATTCACCACATGTGTACTATTCTCGGAGTCTGTCGTCTTGATATTGCTGGAATGCCTGAAGTTCAGTCGGAAGTTATTTCTGTTTTTCAAAACGCCGTCTTTATACTGTAGCTTTTCTCACGATGATGGTGGGGAGATTATATATAGGTATATATTCATTGTGAAATAATAATGATAATAATAATAATAATAATAATAAAAATAATAATAATAATGATAATGATAATAATAATACGAGGGTTAGTTGATAAGTTCTGAGCTTCACATAGAAGAAGCTCATAGTGAAATTCTTTTTTTGTGATCATTGCATGATAAATACCATACGCATATGAATGCGATATGGCCATGACCGACCTTCGAATGAGATTTTCACGTTTGGTTCCAAAGCTTCTGAAATCTGAAAAACGCACCAGGTACAGTACGTATCTGAATAATTTAGATCCCGGAGAAAGGAAGCTAAGACAAAGTGTGCTCTTCCATTGGGACGATGATCCAGTGCTAAAGTCAGACATTGGCATGGCGACAACTCCAGCATCCAGTTCATTCTCTTAGACTTCCGTCTGTCCCCAAACACGAAGAAAGCACTGGTCGGGACCCATTTCATCTCGACGTCATAGCAGCTGTTGAGAACATTTTGGACAGCCAAGAGAAGGACTTATACAAACCTGGGATACATTCCTACCAACATCATTGGCAAAGGTTTCTCTAGCCCTGACTTATTGACAGCCGGATTTATGGTGCTAGCCCACTGACATATACCATGCCACAGTTTAATATGGAACACAACTCCGAGCCGCCCAGTCCTTGATTTGTCGCTTTCAATGCTGAGAGTAAGGCAGGATTACAGCAAATGCCATCTTTTAACGTCGGCCAGGGGATCGAAACAACGATCGGGGATAATCATAATCATAATAATTCCTATACACCCGGATTAATAACCGTGACAATTTAACGACCAACTGTTATGGTATTTATACCTGACCCATAGCCTGACATCGCAAAGGAAACGACACAGCTCAAGTACTGCGTACCACAAAGCAAATGTTCTACACTAGATACTTCAAACAAGCTTCCTGAACCCATGGCGCTCTTTCTTTTGTAAAGATGAAAGAGAACATTCGACACAAATGTGATAATTAACCAGCATTGTCATCAGTATCACTCGAAATGTAGCGAGATTAGACGACCTGTAACCCTTTGATACAGCGTGGGCGTTTGATGTATTTTTCCGTCGAAGAAACGTTAAACGTCCTCGTTCTCTCCCAATCCATGTAGCACTCTCATGGCCGTGGTAGGTGTATGTATGTGATGTGGAAGGGGAGGGGTTGTAGTAGTAGGATGAGGAGGATGTTTTTGTATTGTAGAAGTGGTGGAATAAACGTAGCAGGATTGTTCATTATTATTATCCAAAACTGGCTCCCACAGGAGATATCGCTTGGGTGAGATCAAGCGATATATATACTGTAGATATCGCTGCAATGAAATTGCATCACAATGCTTTGCAGACCATTGTGACGGCATTGGTTACCATGACGTCACAATAAAATGACGTCACAAATGGCTCTGCTACTGAAGCTGTTAGCAGTACTGTTTACGCTTCAGACACTCGTTGATATATTTGATATCAAAAGACACGAGGGTGAGATTCTCTATTTATTAGTAGTATTTTTTTTATTATTATTATTATTATTATTATTATTATTTACAGATTAATATACAAAATGCAGCAAAGAGGGTTTGGATGATCCTGGCACACTCAGGCTGGTTAGGCTCATCATCAGTTCAGGGCCCTCTACACGCAGCCCAGACAGCGAATGGGACTTCTCCCAGGTAGCGCTGCCTTGACAAACCTACCCTGAAGTCTTCGGAGAATGTGAAGACTCCCCAACACTGCAGCCTTCTGCATTATCTAGATTGTCAGAAGGACTGTATTCCTGGTAGCAAACCCGGGTACTCTCCCAATGTCAGTCAACAGATTGGGAGGTACCAAATCTGAGGAACCGAGAACAATGGGGAGTCGGACAACTTGGTACCTGGTATGCAAGCGGGACATTCCGAAAGTAAGGTCCGCATATTTGCCATGTTTTTCATCTGTCTTGTCAATCACATTAGTGTCAAAAGGGACAGAAAATTCAATGATATAAATGATTACATTTGATTTATCAAAAAGGGCAAGACCAAGTTTGTTGGCCTAGACAGATTTGAGGCTGTATACGGGCCTATTACAAAGCATTTTATATCAAGCATTTTGTATGACGCCCTCAACATATTCTGGGTCGTACCATGGATGGAACTCTGTGACAAAACCACAAGCATGGCGAAAACGCGCTACCTCAAACGTACTGATAGTAAAGTTTATTGACGTTGTCCATTGTCCCAAAACAACATGTCTGTCTCAGAGCTGTGAGTGAGGGTTCAGTCAGAAAGTGTTTCGGACTCCTCACTGATATCTCTTGTATTTTAAATGTCTGTAAACAGTATGTGTTTGCGTGTTATCAATGTTTTGATGCGCAGATCCAAAGTAATGTTACAGCAGCAGAGGACGTTTTGTAGTTAGTAGCGTAGATATGAGAGGTGTAGGAGTATGATTATGTGCAGAAGTACTAATAGGAGGGGGAGAAGGAGGAGGCGACGAGATTGAAGGAAGAGTAACAGAAATAATTCTGATGGGAGGAGATATTTATATAATAATTGTCGTTGTAGTAGACGTAGCAGCAGCAGTAGAAGTAGAGTAGTAATAAACACTGCAGCGGCAGCAGTCGTGTGCATTTCTAATTCATCCTTGATCTTTTTCGCACCTTCAACAACATTTGAAGGTACTGAAGGTATTTACTGTAGTTCTTAACTGCTCATTTTGACACATCTGGCCAGCCCAGGAATGTGTATTTGCCGTGTAATTTGGACGGATACTGAATGAATATTCCATTCCTTTTTAGACGTTTTTAGGTATTTAAATCCAGAGCAAATCCATCCTATATGTAAAGTATTAACTCAGTCTACAAATCCACTACTCCTTAACCACAACATGTATGTGTCCCACAAGGTTGTGATCAAAGACATTGATCCATGGTTGTACATCTTCAAGTTTGATCTTTCTTTAGTTTGTAAGTGTATGTGGAGGTGTGAAAACAATGATATTAATATTATTTAGATATGACAGACATAAATGTAATCTTTCTTCCTAGGTTTATATTTCTGTGTGCTTGTATCGCCTAAATGTGCTTCTTAAAAAGCCACCGTGGTCCAGTTGGTGCTGCATCCCGATTGGGCGTCCTTTAGTGTAGTATCTTGTGTTTGAATCATATATCTTCTAACTACTTCGTCTGTCAGCATAGTACTTTTGCTCGGGAGTTTCACCAAAGAAAATCTCTCCGAAACCAATCTGACACACAGTGATATAACTGAAATACATTTCGAAGCGGCGTTTAAACACTTACCTCTCAGCTTGGGTATAAATACCTACTACCAGCCTACAGTCGCACAATAAAAGGCTTAACTATAGCCTTTTGTTCCGAAAAAGTAGCACTCCATACAGTTTTCTACCAAAATTTATTAGATTGAAGAAGTCATTAAAATCTCTAAAATCTCATAAAGCACGCATTACAAATTCCGTCTGACGCACTCTCACAGGTACATGATAGCTCAACCAAACTAAGAAACGACAACGTTACACACAGAATACATTAACCTTTAAGACAGACCAGCTGTGCGTACTTTAGCCCACGTGGGAAGGGAATTGCAGACACTATCAGAGACAGATAATCAGTTAATATTGTCTGTTGTCATCAATATTTAGCAACTGAATGGCATCTTGGTACACACGACCTTTCATGATGAAGTTATTCTAATAAAGGTTGATAACTTTTAAAGTAAGGAAGTATCAAGTTCGCTTCTCATTCACGCTCAAGTCTTTTTTACAACGCACGAAAACTGTGGACAACGTGGGAGTAATAAGTCAAGAAAAAGCCTGTTTAAAACCAAAATATCAAATCATCCTATTTTCATTAACTACTAAAGTGGGCATGGCTTTCTATCATCCAACTTTTTAATGGCAGCGTTGATAACAGCAGTTTATTTCAAAGTAGGACATTTTTAACATACACGAAAATTAAACAGATGTCATAAAAACAAAAATCCTAATCACGTGATGTCAGCACAATAAATCGATTTTGAAAAACTGCCAACTTTTAAATATGTGATGTACACAACATTATATAGAACACACTAGCATAAACCTCAACGCGGTTCATTGTGAATAAATTATGGAGACCTTTGTGCCAAATTAAACAACTTATACAACCCAATAATACTAGTAGAGTATCAACACTTCATTGTACAGCATTCAAAAAATCATTTTATGTACATAGTTGTATAAATGTTTATCAACATGAAACGATGCACTGCATCATAATAATGAGTGCCCGCATCATGTGTAATAACCTTTTATTATATACCGAAGAAAGCGACTGTAAAATACTTGATATGGAAATTGATATTCTTTTGAATATGAAAAAATACTCCCTTCTTTGAATGTTAACTTGTTAGAAAATCTTTGATACCAATGAATTCAACAGTATATAAACCGCCGTGCTGTAAATAAAGGTAAATTAGATTTCATCCTGACACTTCAAAATAGTTTGTTGTAACTATGAGTCAGTACACACTTCTTCTTGATTCGTATAATAATAACATATCTTTTACAACTGAATTAATAATACATTAAAAGTATGAGTTGTATATTGATATTTCAACATACATCTCCATCCCAAGTTTTTGTCGTTCAGACAACAGTTCATGATTTTAACATCAGTCAAACACCGATGTGTCGAAGTTGAAGGGACCTACGTAAGTACACCGTGTTATCCCAGGTTCGACACAACCGAAAATTATAAATAAATAAAGAGACCAATGTTTTTCTTCGAGACAACCATAAGTTTGACACATCAACGTTCGACACAAGGATGTTTGACTGGAATAGTTTACAACATTATAAGATGAAGTACAAAACTATATCATCTAGTTGACATCACTGTGAAAACATCGAGTTTGTAGTATTTGTGAGGGTTTTGTACATACAGTGAGGTGTTTATTTGGTGATCCACTTATTCAAAATAGGTACATTTACAACAGCGTGAGTATTCAACGATACTTTGGATGCCATCAAGAATCGCAATATTCTGAGAAATGATAATACTCAGCGCATCTCATAGAGCAGTAATAACTCACATTGTAGGGCCCAAGAACAGCTGTGAAATATACATCTGTACAAATTTTACATACATGAGGAATAAGTTACGCTTTTATGAACACTGAAAAATTAACACATATCCCTCAGGATGTATAATACAATGTGTATATATGTACATGGTCAATTTGTATATGTACATCATTTTCCTGGACACGCCCATATAATCACAGACATATACGCTAGAGATAGACACCATATCGGATGTGTCCTATCAATGCCACCGTATATCAGACATACATGTCACACTCAATGGCATCCTAATGGTATGCATGTTAAGTACATATTCGAAATAATGTGCACCAAAGCTTCTTGTATGATCCCTAAAACCCAATTCCCGTAGCGGCAACGCCATGTCAACCAATGCAGGATTATGGCCAATATATGCGAAAAAATATTGCAAATATGTTCAAATGAAAGAAACTTAATGGTCAGTCAGCCCAGTAAATAGAGACACAAAGACACATTACTTCATTGTTTTCTTTTGCAAAGTGGTTGTGATTGCATCTCTAAGCCTAATAGTAGCGTTACTAGATGCTGAAAATTATCTGAGTGACTTGCTTGCGTTTTCAAAGCAAAAAAAACGATTCACATGCCTCTATCGTCCTAAGGCCGTTGACGTCATTGCAGTGGCGGAAGTTGACGTTAACGTCGAGTTGGCACATGTTCTACCAGTGAACACGATGACAGACAATGGTTGACACTGGTAGTCATTGTATCTGACCGCCTTGCAGAAGGACCTGTATTGTTGGTTGTACAGAGTTTACCCACAACAGGGCCTGAGGGTTGATTCGTCTAGGATCTCTGTGCAACATCATCTGTACCAACTGTCCGCATCTTCTTCACATTCACTCCTCCCCCTCTGATCACCAAACCAGTAAGGCACGGAGTCAACCACATGCGTGTGTATTTGGAGGTGTATGTACCTGTCTGACACATACTACAGCTTACTCATAAACACGCATTGGTGACAAAATGAATATCAAGACTCTCTGATAACGGCTTGTGTTTACGTTTCTGCATCACTGTAGTCCACATGTAAATAGTCGCCGTTAAAGTCTCTATTATAATCAGGTCTAAACTCGCTTTCAAACTCCCTCGTGCTAGGTAGAGGTGACTTCCTGATCTCTTTCAGCTGAATGATTCCATTGGCTGATTCTGGGAGATCAGAACCCCGTGAGTGTCCGCCATGTTTTTCGGCTTTGCACCTTGAACATTTCCGTTTGAATTTCGGTTTTTGAGCAGAGCCCAGACATCGAATTGCAAATCTCAGCTCTTCTCCCATCTCTGAACACAGCGATTGCTAAGGACGAAAAGAAACAGAGTATTTATGAGAATCGATACATAATTACACTCTATGTTTTTGCCCCGAGAACAGTGTATGGCTATTTCTCTCAAACTAGTGGTGAATGATATAAAACACTCGTGGTATTTATTGACATTCGGTGTAAAGTACAGTGCGAGTTTACCTTTGATGATAGAGTGTGCTACACATGTTTGCCAGGATGTTAAAGTGTTTACAAGCTTATTTGTTCCGATGGGAACACATATTCTAACAACACTACTTTAATCACCATGATATGTTCTCAAAGGCCATCAAAACCTTAAAGCAGGATTTCCTGGTGAGGTAGGGAACTTACCCAGAGGAAACTGTGCTACTATTTAATTATCCTCTTTCACTATAAAATATCTATTTGGGAAGGATTGTATAAACATTGTACTAAAAACGTCTTTTAATCAACAGGAAGGTTGAGGAGAAAAACATGTATAGTTCTATTTTATTTTAGGTACATATAATGCAAAGCTGCATGCATGCATTAAAATGAATAAGTATAAATGGTTTCATGTAAATAGCTGTAAAGCTACATCACGAACTTATAGCTTTACGGGCTAATACAATTACTGACTCAAACAGTAACAACGACAAATAGACTTGAGTTAAAATGCTTGTCAACATAAGTAAAATCTACTGACACTCACCTCCAAACGTTTAGGGCAGGAATCACAAGTCTGTCAAGTTAAGAAAATTACATGAAAAATATTGTATACTTTTTTGTAAAATTAGCAAGAAATGTTCCAATACCAAACTATCCACTGATGTAATGACATGTTATGTTACCTGTAAAATTTTTCTTCTCCTTGTTATGGTCAAATATAGTACATGTACCATATTTTGTCTACAAATTTCGATATGTAAGATGTTGGGACTACTTTATTAGTTCCCATAGTTTCGATTCGTGGCTAGTGTGCTGACTAATTTAAGATGGATTTAAGAAACCAATACATTTAAACAAGATCGCATCACAGTCACGTCAATAGCTGCTTCGCTAGAAATGCTACACAACTGTAATTATCAAAATTACATGAATAGCTGGCACATTTATACAATGAAAAAAATGTATTGTAATGTATTTCTCTTTCTAAACAGTGTCGTACATAAATAATTGTCAGTGATCTTTATTGTGCTTTGTATAAACAAGTGCGAAATCAGTGAACCGTGATTACTGAAGTTAAACACCTAAGTTCCACGGGAAATACCTTTTTGAAAAGAAATATCCCATTTCTAAAGGTTTCCTTGAGATATTTCATTGAAAATGTTTGCAACAATTTCTTTCCAGGAATGTCCTTAATGCGCCGAGATGGTTATTTGTAATCAATGACCCTACATTTGTGGATAAAAACAGTGCATGGTACCATACCATTACCGAAAATTGAGTGCAAGAGTATTGATGTAACTGATGTTAAGGCAGGTAGTCACGATGTTGCAGATCTTGGTGCTGGAGGTGAGTGCGACAACACTAAGAGTAGAGAGAGTGCAACAGGATGATAGTTCACCAATACAACACATACATGTAGGAAGGCAGCCAGATTTCACTTCACCCTGAAGAGCTAGCTTTGATCTACCACGTAGAAGTAACCCGTGATTTCCCTGGGATGAGTTTTGCTTCAAAAGGGTAATGAGATACAAACCCAGAGGTCTCTCATTAGCGTAGCATATCTTTCGAGGCCTACATGCATGAAACAAAATATCACCACTGACGAGATCTATTACTATGTTGATGGCGAAAGTAGATGACAACTACCATTAAAATGCAATCACCTAAAACCTGCTGATATCATGAACAAATTTAGTTTATGTGGTCCCCATGCACAAAGAGGCAGTATAGTACATAGTCATGTACATTGTATTACATGGACGTTTTAAGATCAAATCAATTGAATATCAATTTAATATCACTTTTGATGGATGATACACAAGCTGAGCGTTATATACGCGCATCGCCGTTAAAGTATTTCTCTAATTGAATTTTGAAGTAGAATTACTCAGATGTAACCAGCCGTATTGAGCCTTATTATTTGATTTGACATTTTAAATCTTGATTTGCTTTTTTAGCATATCAAATAAAACTCACAACACTAAAATACCACTTCTTATCAAACATATGCTTAAAGTAAATACTCAGAACACAACGAATGATGAACTTTACCGATAGACATACATACATTCACAATCAAGCAATACACAACACCAGTAATGAAAACAGCATCAAAATGGCCTACCTTCTTTGCATGCTGTTCATCACGGGCATTCTTCTTGGATTTATAGATGAACTCACAGATGGCTACCAGCACCGCTAGTGCTAGACCAACAAGCAGCACCACAAAGATCCCACCCACGTTCTCCACCCCCAGAGCATTGGCTTTAGAGTCCTTGTTCTCATCCCGCATGCAAGTACCAGTGCTCTTCCACCATTTGTTGTACAACATCTGGATCCGGCCATTCTCCTGCAACTCCAGTATCGCCATGGATAGTTTGTCTCTATATGCGGAATCTGAAAAAGGGCAACGTTGGATGTGCAATTAATGCTATCATGTGTACCAGAGTAACGATCATATAAAATATATATTTCCTTGAACATATTCTTCGTCATGATCTAGGAAATACTCCCAAGAGACTTAAACCTCTTGTCATGCTTCTATCCTGGAGCAGTGAAAAATCCAATGCTTGACAAATTGAGGCTTATCTCACGGATGAAACATTTATGATTTATCAGAGATGCGTTATGCCTTTTACTGAAGGATAATTCGGAGAATTTGTTAGGGTTTTGAAAATGCGGATAAGTAGAGGGATGGAGTCGGGGTAGCGTGTGTAAATTGTCAGACCAGGATTAAAGCAAACACGAATATTAAAAAAAAGAAGAAGAAATGGACATGGGCAAGGTCTAGTTCAAAGTTATATTTTTTGCATTGGTAAATATAAATCCCCGAATATACAGGGTGTTAACCAGGTCCAATTTTCTCAAAGCATAAGGATTTAGAAATTCAATCGGTAAGTGTTGGCACGATGATTGCGTCTTAAACTTTTGTGTAGGTACTGAACGTTAAATGAAACGTAATATGACTAAAGAACTGAATCAGACTCTAATACGTCTCTAAAATATTAAACGAACGTGATGATCTGAGCGAAGCAGATTACAAATCGCAACTTTATATATTCTGAACATGTCTCATTATGTTTCTAGGAGCAAGATCATTTTTTTCAGTTACAATCCCTTGTTATAATACTTTTGAACATCTATGTTCTCGTTAAATAATACTGATTTCATCTCAAGTGCCTCAGCATCCCTATATTAAGTCATTTAAACTCCAACCTAATCTTGGTTATCCGGACAGTGCAGTTGGTTCTCTCTATAATACATGTTATTCATAGCAGTGGATGGTAGATTGTTCTCTTGGGTGTTATCAATTTCATAATATAGGACTATTTGGTTGAAAGATTTGCTCCTGATATTGATATTGGTGTCATAATAAACCATTCTTTTGATGGCATGATGCAAAGTTACACACCGAACTCTATTTTTAGTTCGGTTTGTTATGGCTTTCATTCAAGAAAAAGTAAATGCGTTACTTAGTAAACAATAGAATAATTTCAGTGTGTATTTTCCACGAATTCCAGCTTACACTGTTATGTACGGAAGCAGCGTAGTAGGGCCACTGTGAAATCTTTTTTGTCTAAGTATCTCCTACGTAGGACTTATTATCTTCTACGTAGGACTTACTATCTCCTACGTAGGACCTACTATGTCCTACGTTGGACTTACTATCTCCTACGTAGGACTTACTATGTCCTACGTAGGACTTACTATCCCCTACGTAGGACTTACTATCTCCCACTTAGGACTTACTATCCCCTACGTAGGACTTAATAGCTCCTACGTAGGACTTACTATCTCCTACGTTGGACTTAGTATGGCCTAGAATTACTATCTCCTACGTAGGACTTAGTATGGACTAAAAATAATTTTACCTTGGCCCTACTACGCTTCCGTAGTTATGCTATTCCTACCTCTAATGTATGAACTAAAATCCATACTGTTCTAATGCACATAGTTTTCTAATAGCAGATTTTAAATGACCATTAAGATGTGATGAAGTCTTAAATAGTATACGTTAAGATATATATTCACATGTACATTCATGCTTTCCTCTCATATTATGAACTCAAAGGCAATATGGCTTCAAGCACATGTGTGATATCTGATCTGTTTCACACAAACATTGGGGATCTAGAAAAACATGTAAATTTAACGACCCATTATAATTAGACATACAAATGCTGAAACAAATATATCCAATACAGTCCATGCAAGTCTTAAATAGTTGGCAAGTCTAGAATCCTGCAGTTTCTACAAAGGAAGAGAGTGACTCGGCTCCCTTTTTATTATATGTCATTAAGATAACAACTGTTTTTGTTCTGTAAATATTTTCATTTTAGTGACTACATGTTAGTCTAACGATCCATCTTCTCGACTTGTCGACATGTCGACATGTTGCATGTTTTATTTCTCTTATAGTGAGCATGAAATGCTCCCCCATGTAATATCACTAGCTACAATTCATGTCTATAGAGAAGTTATCGTGCTATGTAATCATTTGTTTCAAAATATATTTCCTTTAAATCCTCATTTTGAAATTATAAGGTAAGGCAATCGTCATATAAATTTCAAGGATGTCTTTTATTCCTTTCATCTGAGAACTGAAAAGACAGTAATGTTTCCTTTCTATCTAACGTTTCACACGCGATTATCCATCCCGAGAAAATAATTCCATTATTCTCTTATTAATCAAATTATTCGAATAACTGCGTCCTTTGATCGTAATCTCAAGACTAACTTGGATTTAAAGGCACCTCAACAAATGTCTGTTTAAGCAAAGATCTGAAGTTACATATTGGGCAATGAATATAAGTTATTGACTGTAAGAGGAAGACGAAGCTGTTTTAATCCAATAGTCAGCTCTTCCAAGCCAAAAGAAGAGGCGACCCTCGACTGAATTCGGAGGTAATCTAACTGTCTGGATGGGAACGATAAATGAGAGAATCCACCAATTATTGACCTTTGTTTCCCGTTCATTTCACGATAAACTAATTACAGAAACGGTTGGTTTGGACACACGGAGAGCGGACTGTCGGAACAGCCCGCACGTCGATCGTGACCTCGGAGGTACTCAGACATAATTGTTATCCACTTGTCGTGCGAATTGCTGTGCCAATTACATCTCGTGAAGGACGGGCCACACATGCTGCATTTGACAACGGTCAGTACTAAGGGCGTGCTTGGAACATAAAGCACACTTTCCTGAACAAACGTGTCCCATAGATTGGCATATTGCAACAATCTGCACTTATTCTGAATGTGGGGAAGTTTAAGGACATCATTTGGCCCGAAATGTTCCTATTTGTACTGTTCCGACTGGGTTCCATCTAAAAGTGACCATGATCTCCTTTTGGAAAAGTTCTTCAGTTGCAGTGCAATACCTGATGACATGGTGTAAGGTCGTAACGATCTACAACAAGTGGTACCAGTACGCTTCTGAAATAATCGGAAGTTTAGATGTATAGCTCTGATCAAGAGAAACACAGCAGAGACACACACACAAAATATTTCAATTGCAAATGTATCTCACAAACAGTCAACTCAAACTGCCAGTGTCTTCTCCCACATTAACAAAATATCATAATATGAATCATTATACATTGAATCCGCTAGAACTCGAAGTGGTATCCTAGCATAAAATATGTGTTTGTTACAAATCACTATAACATCGATAATCGTGGAAATGACATGTTTAAATATATAACTCAAACAGTAACAACTTTGGGATACTTTGTTTCAATTTGCTTGTGTGTATTTTGTAGCTTAGGACCAGAGGCACACTTTGTCTTATACATTATATCGACTAGTCAGTAAGATATTAAGTTGTCCACTGGTCATCGACATGGACATGTCAGTGAGACATGGACAAATGTACTCTCTATGTTAGTTTAGTCAGAATCCGACATTCACGTGTAAGGTAAACTTCGTCACTAAAACATGTGTTTTGTTTCAAGTAAACGTCTAGATGCCTTGTGTTATTTTGTGGCATTGTCTGATCGAACAGCCTAGCATCTCCTTAAGTGTCGTTTTTAGATTTCACTACATTTGGCCTTAACACGCAAAATAGAGGATTTACATTGTCACGATTCTGCACATTGCACTAAAACACGATTTTTCTGATGTAAAACTTAACCAATAACACGTGAGCAGCAATGCAAATATAAATTAAAGTATGACGTGTGTTACAATTGTCACCCAAAGTGCGTGTTTGTTTTCCCAAAGGTTTACAGCAATCGTTTATGATTCGACAGAATTGTATTTCTTCATTTATCTACCAAATGGAAAGCGACCACTGGTATTCTTTTCAAGTAGTATCTGCAACGTAGTGAAGACAATGTATTGTATAGTGTTCACATTGTTCACATTAGTTACCAAACATGTCCCAATGACAGTGAGTAAAAAGTACAAATGGAAGAAAAACAATGAGGAATTGCCGTGTTCCAAAGAAGGAGGCGTTATAAGTCTTGCGGAGGAAACGCCACTGTGTAAGGGATTTGAGGAACTAGAATTACTAAAGCCACTTGGGAAACGTGGTCGCCTACACAAGGTCGCACCCTTCGCTAATACTGTCAACACGTTATTGAATAAAGCAATAATTAAAACAGACACGAGCGCCATGCGAGTACGCCACCCTCACTATAGCACATTCCCCGGCCGTTCTAATTGCATTACTTTGACAATAAGTTCAGTGTCTCGGAGCGAGGAAGGCAAGGTTTGGCTCCGCTTCAAAGATCGTTACTTATATGATCTAAGATAATTCCACAATCAGATCCGTCTAAGCGCGACCATCAAATGCCCATACGCTTGCGTTGTGTACTTGCTTGAACGAAATAGGATTGGTGTATCCCTTGAGCATAATATCATATATGTTTTGTGCAGAATATTTCACAAAAGCGTTCTTAGGTGAAATTTTATAACTCCCTGCCCAACAGAGACCATTTCTGGACTATTACTCTCAGCGCTTGCTAAACTGTACTTTATCAGTTCACTTAGTCGGGATATTAAGAACAAACATTTAATCCACGTAATGGTACCAGCTGATCCAAGTCCGCAGCCAGAACAATATTGTTATCAAACTGATGTACAAGCACATTCTTATTGATTATGTGTAAATAAATGCATATCCATACTTGCAGCAGTTAAATAATCCCTACATTTCATGAACATTTTTACCTGTAAATGCATCGCTAACTGGAATATGAGCACATGGCGTTCTTGCCCTCCGCGAAGCTCTATTTCCATATGACAACGCATTAAGATTAATATTTAAGTGCCAAGGCACTTAAAGATTCCATATTCACTTAATCAGAGTGAAGTCTCTAAGGTGAAGTCGTCGATGGCATAGTGAACTTGGCAAGAAGTAAGAACTAGGTTTGCCCATTGTCTGATGCAGCTATGGTTAAATTGCATTTAATATCATTCGAGACAATTCTTCTGCTTCCATGAAAAAGACACAGATTTGTAATGCCGTAAAACTTTATTGCCAGTGTGGTTTGAGTTGAACTTTGCGAACTCATTAAGCTGCTGGTGAACTCAAAAGCAATTCATGTTAACAAAGAAGAACCTCCTCACAACATGATTAAAGTTTTCACTGAATTATTGGTGTAAATTGTCGATTATGTTTATGTTCAATTATGATGACATGCCAGAGAATCGTATTAAAAGGGAAGTAACTCTAAAGTTAACGGTAAACATCATTACAGAAATCCATTACAATATTTTATTTATTGATTCAATATCATAAACTCCTATCTTTGTGTTTGCATATAAACACCACCATATCACAATGATCGCAAGTTTCGAGAGTGTATTAAATCTGAACACAAAGTAGAAAGATAAACTGAAGAGCAAAGGAAAGTAGACCGAGTTTGTGTTTTCTGTAGTTGAAAATTGATTATTATGTTTTTATTGAAATTATGTTTTTTTAACCAGCAATCACCCCTGCAACAGTTTGTAAAACATAATCTGTGGCAGGGTAATTTAGTGTAAAAATAAATCGGTTCAATGAAGACTGGGGTAAAAAGAATTTGCAACAACATGACCCCTACCATGTTTGAAATGTAAATTTGTGCCGAAAAAGACAAAAATTATTTTCAAATGTACGATTTCTCTAAGATACCCATCAGCAGGTGTGTATTATGCGAAAACATTCTTATTAATTTTTGAAAGTTTTAAAACGATTATATCCTAAAATATAAATCCACGTAGAAGTATTCTTTGAGTGTTGACTAAGCGCCAGAATTGTTTGGATATATTATCGCTAACTTAAGATATTTTTCATTGAAATTCAAACATATGACGACATCATAATGAGAGGTATAGTTTCTTTGGCCCCTCAGTTTACAGAAGTAACGTGAATGTGGATGACCGTATGGTTTAGCAGTAGTTAAGCTGTACCTAGGCAGGAGACTGACACCAAGAATATGTTTAACATATTGTATCCGTGTGTGGAAAGAAACCACAGTATATGGTGAGACCAGCGAACGCTTCAACAATTGTGCTACCAAAGCGCACTTTGCAACGGGTCTTCTGTGTGCTACAAAAAAGCTCTTTTGTCACGTAAACAACTGTTTATTCATATATCTATTAGACATAGTGCAATTGATAAATTCCTCCTTGTGACCCTGTAATCCCATTTACATGCAAAGACGCCTTGAGAATTGAAGTATAGTACAACAACATCGATCCTATACCATTTTAGGTTCCTCATATACAGGCCCCGTTTCAATTTATACTTGATCCGCTGTGTGGTACGGGACCCTGTGTCTACTGCTTCCTTATGCATTATTCCCAACGTGAATGTGGCCCTGTCGCCTCTCCAGTTGAGTCGAGTGCTTCTACTTAATTTCACTTCCTTAGATTAACCCAACCCTACCATTAAACGTAACGCGTAATCGTAGGCATTGGATATACGTCTTGATACTACAGACTGTTGCCACCTATCCTTATGGAAATTTTGCCGTTCTTTTGTAGTTTTATAGTGTGTTGAAATGGTATAGCTATACAATCCTTAGCTTCCATTGAGGTTGATCTGATCTCCAATCCAAAGTCAGACACAGAGCCGGGCCTTAAGGCCACATTCATACAACTTCTGGATACTGTTCCTAGGTCTGACATGGCTGTCCTATATTTACAACGTAATGAAATTCAATCCGGGTGACTTAGCGAATGTGAGGAATTGATACAAAACACGATGCTTGGAAATATGTCCAGTTTCAATAACCCCGAACCGAGTGCCCGCACCTGGTCCCACGTAGCTCGTTATTCCAATGTTCAGTTTAATTCCTATAAGGGTTGCCGTAGGGAAATCCATTTAAGGCTTTTAGGCATGTTTTAGTTGTGAGTTAATTATATGGCAAGACTGAATCTCAACCTGTCAGTTATGTTCAAACGCTAAGAGGGAACTATTACCGAATGACCACCCAGTTAAATCAACTGGCACTATAAATCAATGATTGAAACTGAGTGTCAAGACACATTTCAACCATTTATGAATGATGTAGGGTAGTGGTTATAAGCGTCCGGTCATCACTCTGAAAACCTGAATTCGATTAGCCATATGGGTACAAGTTGTGAAACGTATTCATGGTGTTCCCCGCCGTGATATTAGATGAATAAACTTCTAAATTTATAAGCAGCAGACGCAATTCAAAATAAACATATCGGTTTTAGTTTCCACAAAATCAGGAAACGGCATATCTTGACTGGATTGTCTGTTCCCCGTCACTTGAATGTCTCCCAAGACTCGATAGTTTACAGGGCGCCGTTGTATGGCAGGAGTAGTGCTACGTTTCATCAAACACCTACTTTTCAGTGCAAATTGGTGGGTGCTACCACTAGGGCAAGTCATGCTGACCATTTTCAGTGACCCATTCATATGATTTTCACCGCTATGTTGCCTGTTACACACAATGTAATCTTTTTTCTCGGATAATCGAAACTGGTTATGCCATGGCGTTGGTGTTTTATAGTTATCATAAGTACATTGCCCAAGTCATGAAAAAATAAGCCCTTCTTACTTATTGGTGTGCCTATTCCATAACCCTTGGAGTCAAGAAGTCCCCCGACCTGCATCAAATCACAGTTACGCTGGGTGATGTAGTCAATCATGGTGGACTCGGACAGGAAGGCGTATCCCCCGTCAAGAACCCTGGCCACGCCCGCTTCGTATGACTTCATAAACACTGTCGGCTCCTTCTTCTTCATGAAAGCCCACATTCTTTTGTACGTATCAATTTTTGAGTCCTGAAAAAAGATATTTCAATGAAATTATATCCAATAGCAAATTTTACGCTTTGGCATATGTATCTTAATAGGTGAATATAATAGTGTTGTGGAGATTTTTTAAACAGGATCAAGATCGTTTAAAGTGTACTCACTAGTCATGTATTCATGTTTCGTGTCCTCGAATGAACAATCATGTTTCTCTCGAAACAAATGGATATGTATTTTACGTCTCTGGAATACGAAACATTGTTTTTTACAATAACATAAATTTACAATAAATTACTTTCTTGTGCTGTTAATATTGTATTCTCAAGCACTAAATCTATATTCAAGAAATGCAATATTCAATACTGAAGGAGTGATGGGTGCCACATAGAACGTTGCTCATGTACAGACTTGGGAGACAGTCCGCCGAACATTGGCTGAGAGAATATTGGTATGTATGTCACAAGGTTCTGTAATGGAATCTCCATCTTCACGGACTGGCATTAAGGTGTCTGTGGTTCAATTAGTAGGTACTGCGATGGTACTTTGAGCCACTGGGTTTCGAGGTCGTGGGAAATTTGCCACCTTGTCACCACAGGTGCTTGATTGGACTGGCTTAGCTGTATTCCGTTCACTCACGCCCTTAGGTTCAACCGACATGCATGTTAGACTGACTTTGTTAGGGAAAACATAATGCTTAATACATGTCGTGTATTGACATGCAGAGTTTGAAAATCAGACAAGATGTCTAAGGATGTATCTGTTCCGAGTACATTGGCATAATGCGTCGTGTGTAATTTCAGTCATGGAGATTATGCTATGTGGGATGCAGTTGGTTGGTTAGTTTGTTGATTAACGCCAGCTATATGATGACGGTCTGTAGAACTAATCGAGTCTGGACCAGACAATCCAGTAATTGATGTCATGAGCATCGATCCACGCAATTGTGATACGATAACAAGCATCAACCATGTCAGCGAGCCTGACCACCCGATCCCGTTAGTCGCCTCTTACGACAAGCATAGTCGCCTGTCATGGCAAGCATGGGTTGCTGAAGACCTATTCTACCACGGATCTTTACGTGTCATAGGGGATGTAACTAGTGTAGTGTGACACTGAAGCAGTAACTGCAACATACATTTATATCATACCAGCCTGCTAGAACAGCTGTCCCCCAACAGACCCTTTTGAAATATTAGTAAACAAATAAATTACAAGCAATGATGTGGCATTTGATTGGCTAACCCAACAGTATGTTTTGCGTTTATGTTTCCACAAACCTAAAAAAGATTAGGCCACGCCCACTAATAAACTTCTGTTTCCTAATTGGCTGATAATAGAATAGTCGTGACTTGTTTGGAATTATTGCGCTGAACAGTGTAACTGATGTCGTACTGTCGTCGACAGTTTTATTGGTGTTATCATTAAATAAACAGTTTCAACTTATATCTTTGGTGTAAGTATTCATAAGAATTGACTTCAATATGTACATGCGTTTATTGAGTTAAAAACTAACAACCGGTGTGCAGACTTTTGTAAATACGCTACGTTTATACCTCCATAAACACACGTACGTATTAAAGTCAATTCTTAAATAAACTCATATTTAACGTGTCTGTACGTCTTATTACCAGATTTATCATTTGACTTTGTGTTGAGGTTAGGTTATATTTATCGTCGCGTTCAAGATTATTTCACGCATATAGGTTTGTCGTGCTTGCCTCCTGAGATAGAAACCCGATCGGACACATTATACTCCGTGCTGACCAGTTCTTGTTTTTTTCCCTTAATGCCGATTGCCAGACAGGGTACCAACAAGTAACACACTGCCAGGGGAACGAAGCACCAACCTCTCCTAGCAGACGCTCTTTCCACTGCATCACGGAGGCTGTCTCATTTGACTTTGATATCAGGGACATTAACATTTAAACAGAGGTAGGGATTCCAGCTCACGGTCCTTTGCCAATTTCCGGTTAAGGTCTAGGATTTGTTATTAGGGCCCTGTGTGAAACTGACACATTGACACATAAAAATATGGTACAGATTCACAGATGGATTGAGCAAAATCATAAAACAGTGTTACCAGACAGGGAAAGTGGTACTAGTATTTGAATGTATCTCTTATGTAATGCTTGTAAAAATTATCTTGAAACGATTAACTTCAGTTACCCAAGGTGGCATGCGTATAAACATGAATTGTGTACGTCGTTCTTCTGCATGTCTTTCTGATTCTGTCTTGTTAAACAAGTCCGGGTATTTATGGTTCCGGGAATTCAAAACATAAATCTAACCTTAAATCCCCATTTCTTCATCATCTGATAACGATCCGTTAAGGATGATCATGCCTTTAATGTTGTACAGTCCAGTCAAATAGGACGACTGTTTTCTCCAAAACTGCACAGAATTGGAATTGATAGCAGATATGGTGTCCCCCTGTCTGAACCAGCAGTATAAATCTGCACTATCTGGGAAGAATTATGTTTTAGTTTTATATCTCAAGCAATGACACATAATTTAGCGTGGTTGCCCTGCTCAGCATTGTTTACCATCAGAACAAAACCTGCCGAGTGGGGAAATTGGATGTTGTTGGACGCCGGGACCCGTGTTGATTGTTTGCTGGTTTCTGGTTAGCTGTTCTGTCGGAGTACTGCTTTAAATAGTCTTTGGACAAGAAAGATACAAGGACACAGACTAAAGTAATAGGGTATTACCGCAGACAATAAATGCTGTCGTTCTTATCAAAACAGGTTTGAGATCGCAATCAAACACTGGAAGTTCTTACAAGTCACTTCAAGACCGCGCAAACTGCGGTTTTTTTTAACTGCATTGCGCATGTCCACGATAACGGTTATATGGACTTTCAATCTGCTCACGTCTCGGCGGTGGTTACTCTTAGCAGTTCTTGCAGTCAAGATGTGTTTGATCTTGAAAGCGTATGGTTCATTAAAAGGTTTGTGTCAATGATAAAATTTGTCTGGGTCAATTTTGAACGTATAATGTTACTTCACTGAACATGATTGCTGCATTTTTCTAGATTTATTTTAATTACACAAGGAATGGTAATGATATAATGTAGCAGATTATTAAATGTGAACTAACGTTCTTATGAGATATACATGGCGATAAAGTTAAGCAAAAGCGAAACGGGCTTGATTTGCAATGCAGGGTTGTAATCCCCCATAGGCTTCAGAGATGCAACGCAAAAATTTTTTTAAAATATTTGATTGCAGCATTGATTTCATTCATTTCATTTACGGGCAACGAGAGTTTGATTTCATGTCAACGTTTCCAATCAAGAAGGGGAGGCAGGAAGACCTGACCCTTGCCGACCCGTATTCATCAACGCGGAGCGTCCTAGTAGTAATAATGTCAGCAGTTTGTAAGCAGACAGCATACTCTGTATACGCAGGACTGATTTACTGCGTATTTAAATCTCTGTCTTGAACAACTCACAAGACTGGTAAATCTGCAATGTCTAGTGAAAAAGTTCTTATCACTGCAATCAGCTGTAGTTTGTATATCATCAGGGACATAAACTGCAAATTCAACAGAACGCAGAGGACCTATTTCACACTGTTGCTAACGTTTATTGGAAAAGGCATATCCTTATACAAAATCGATGAAAGGTAACGTAAATGACCTGTTTGATCTTAAAATCCTATCGTCCATATCCAAACCTCTACTGTCGTCACGCATGCATACTACCCAGCGTGGAACAAGTTGGTTATAATGGGACGTTATAACGGATTTTGCTCGCCCCCCAAACGTTTCCTATCCATTGCTTGTTCGGGGAGCGTGTCAAGGAGACGCGTAGGGGCCATAAATGCCTCTGTTTCATTTCCCGGCTGGCTCCCCATACAGGACATTTCAGGTTTCACGGGGCATTTCCAAACCTTATGATAATTGTTTCGCACCTTCCCCAGTGACTGTTACTTGTAATATTCAATAATACTTAAGAGTTATCAGTCCTGCTCATACTCAGCATAAAGTTATTGCGCAAACTCTACAAGTCATTTTAAGAGCGGGATTATACCATATATTTTTTTACACATGTTCATGTCAATGTTTATTTATGGTGGATTGTCACACGTCGTATCACTTAAGTGAATGTAAAAGAAATCTACATTTAATGCGTATATACATTTTATGCCGATCCTCATGTACTAAAAGAACGTAACACTTAACTTCGGCTACACGCTGGCGCAAAAACATGGCGCCAATTCACAACTGTATTGCCCTCCGTTTAAATCACGAAATGGTGAAAAGCAGCTTTAAGTCATCAGTAGAGAAAACGTATAGCCCATTAGAAAAAGATGATGGAAAATGCACGGATTTTCCTTCGGAGCGCACATGAGAAGGAAAGCCAGGCTTGATGGCCGAAACCTCGGCGGATCACAGTAATGACAAATTCAATTTGAGTAATTGAGTTAGGGAGATTCTCACGCAGCCTGACTCAGTAACGTGACGCAAGGCCTAGCCTTGATGCAGCGGAGGAGCAATGTCCCTGCAATAGCGCGATTTCCACGTTAAATCTCAGTAGGAGCTCTCAGAAGGGCGGACTGGTCTTTATTGTTCAGCTTCCCATCATGCCTTTGCAAGCTCTAGTCATTTATTGAATTGCAGTCAAGAAACCTCATAATATTTGCCAATTTAGTCAGTATTTATAGGCTCCGAACCACGTCCAAATGCGTGTCTTTGTTTTAAAACTCCAATAATCCTACCCAGGGGCCCCTCAAATCAAATTAGAAGCTCTCGAAGATTATCTAACCATGAGGGCCGATTATCGGGTTTTGACAAATTTGGACAAGACTCGCTGAAGCGGAGGCCAGTTTGTCCTTGCAATGATTAGCTACATGTTGCTTGTGGCATTCGCTTTCAGGAGTTTCAAGCTTGCATACAAAATATTCTTTTGACCGATCTGTTTTCAGAAACAGACAAGCGGCCACTCACTAGATTGAGCATTTTTAAATACATTTATCAGTGCGTGGTAAAGTTTAAAGTAAGCAAAATAACGTTGTCAAAGAGGTGAACACTTGAGATCGATTGGCAAAGCAAACAAAATCTAAAATGTTCAAGCAGATTTTCATCCAAGCTATGTTAGAGTTTATTTCGAACAGTTTACTTATGAACTACACATATTTTACGGGAATTGGTTTGAGCTTTTAAATACCAGAATACTGTATTACTGAAGTCGGTTGTGAGTGAGTGAATTTGGTTCAAAGCCGGTTTGGTGAGTATTTCAGTTATATAACGGCGTGTTAGCTTGACGTGGGAGGAAAGCCCGAAATGATACAGGTGGTACACCTTTACCACTTTGGTGAAACCAATATATATTGATGTCCGGTATATTCCAGGACCTCATCTGTGTATAGAGTCACCATTTACCCGATGGCATCACACACTTATACCCTAGAGTGATAAGTGAGGGAAACTGTGATTTGAATGGGTCCTCTTTTGTCAAGGTATTTAACTTTTTTTATGGTGATGAATATATGTATGTGAATACCTCTCATGATATTACGAAAGCAAGATTTAATTCTATCATGTCCGATAATGGGTAGTAACTACCACCAGGGGGATTTGATTGAACTTTGTCTTCATATAATCACGAGTTCTATAAATTATTTATAAACGAAGGCGATTTTCACACAATTCTGAAATCAATCAAATTTAAGTGATTCTTAAAATAGCTTCATGAAATACGCAATTGTCTTATCAAAGGAACCAAAATGAGTGAGTGAGTGTTGTATTATGCCCCAATGAGCAATAGTCCAGTTATTTCATCACCATATGTAAAAATGGGTCTGGGCGAGATAAAGCAGTGGGTAATAGCATGAGCAACGACCCACGCTGTTAGGGGCACCTTGTCAGACAGGTATTTAACCATTAGCACTTTCTTCAAATAAGCATGGGATGTTGGTGGTTATTCTGCCACAGTGTCTCCAGGGTCTTTAACACCACAGGCCATTACTGTTACAACAAACTTCGTTATGACCGGACTTCGCTTATATCCGACTTTGCGCAAATTAAACCACTGTTGATGACAAAGAATTGAGCTTCATCATCTGGGCCAACTTACCCTGAAAAATTGCATTGTAGAACCGCTACCTAAGGTCCCATATGAGATCTCCGTTTGCTTGGCAAGGTCCTCCGCACTCTCGATGGGAGATACCATTCTCTCTACAGTGAGGAAAGCAGCCAGGTTGGCGGTGTAGGATGATATGATGATAAGTGTGAAGAACCACCAGATCCCCCCTACAATCCTAGTGGACACGGCCCTTGGGTTTATGTCCGATCCCTGCTGCATCAGAGTCCCCACGGTGAACCAGAAGCTGTTTGACAATGTGAATGTATTCTGCACGGTGTCTGTGTCTGGATTGCACGGGTGTGCATTGTACCACTCATACGGACTAAATCGGGCGAGAATGAATATCGTGAAACTGACAATAAAGTAAGCTCCAATAACATAGAGCCAGATTTCTATAGCAAGAGGGTTTAAGAACGAGAAGAGTCCCGGTTTTTCCCGTTTTGGCACTTTGAACAATATTGTAATTCCTAAATTAAGGAAAGGTTTTGTGAAGTCGATGACTTGTTCCCTCACATAGTTGATAGTCAAGGGCGCAACGGCTAAATCAGCTCTCTGAAAGACAACCAGAATGAATCATCTGAGAGTTGCAAAATGCCCTTATGAAACTTGTCATTCTCATCACAGCTGAAATAACGTATTGAGTTAACTGTCACGGCAATAAAGGAAGGAAGCGTTCGGTCAAAAGTGATGCGATTACATAGATTTTGTTTTGTCTTCCACTTGTGCAAGGTAACGGTCATTACTCAAACAAATCATAATTGTCCTTGTTCTGTCTTTGTATTTCATTATCTGATGTTCACGTGTTTCAATTGATTCGATTAACCCCACTGTGGTATTTACTTCATAGCTCCGTTTGTATGTTATTCATGAGGAAATAATTGATTTTATTTTCTCCGAGCAATTTGAATCGCCTTCGCACTGCAAGACAATTTGTAGCAAATAGAGATTTTTGCCACCTTATAATGTGATAATATTCACCAGATTTGTATTACAGGTCTTGTAGTATGACATCACTATGCAGGAGAATTTGTTTTTTTTATGCAAACTAAAATATGGCGTGTTAAATTTGGTAGTTATTTACTGATTGTCTTCATTGAATTTGCTCATATTCTTTTTCTTTTACGTTTACAGTACATTTGGTATGAAAAGTTATAATTACAATATTTTTTATCATTGCAATTATAAGACCTTGATTACGTTAACTTCAAAAGAAAGTGAAAACGGAAATTATGAATTTCGTTTGATAATCAGCATAATCTTGCAGTGTGTCCTACATAGCAGTTACCATACATCACGTTGACAGAACACAGATAATGAAGACACCATGTAACCATAGCATGTGCATATAATTATAACATGTGTAACCTCAAAAGTTCTACATAGTTACCCGATTAAGTAAGAAAACTAGAATACAGCTCTTCTTCCAATTTAGACCAAGGTTTAAGTCGATATTTGGTTTAAATACAGTTCCGGATTACCATCATGCGGATGAGGCAACCAATGGTACAAAGTAAAATCCCCTTGTTGTGGCTTTCATGACAATAGCTGTGATGGCATGCTTACCCTGGCTATAAGTTCACCGACCATGCCGTTCCACTTCTTTTTCTCATTAGGAGCACCATAGTTTCCGTCAGCAACCAACACAATCTTGTAGCGGAAGCCCACAATCTTGGAAAGTTCCTCCAACAGATCTATACAGAACCCTTCGTATTCCTGTCCATCATCGACTCTACGTTCCTTCTTCATCATATAAGGCTTTTCCTGGAACCAGACATATCAATCTAGCCATCTGACAATGTTTAACTACAAATAAGCAATAAAAGATCGGAACATATTTTAAGTGTACAGCTAAAACGTGCAACAATGTGTTGATTGTAAATAAATGAGTACGAATACTGTTGATAAACTGTATCTTAATATATTTGCAGTGACAATGTATATGTTATATTCAATTACATTGATTATAAACTCATCGATAACTATTCACCATTTGCCTTGAACTTATATCCAATCATATGTAATACTTAAGTAATGTGTAAAGTGGAATGATATTTGTAACGTTTGTTCTTATATCTATCATAAGATTTGGAATTTTAAAATACATTTTACATTATTCATAATCATATACATAACGCGTGTAAATTGATGAAACCACACGCTACATGACACGTGACTACCTCGGTGTTCCTTGTGTATACCTTCAACATAGACAGTGTGTACACGGAGTACATTCCTGAGAAAGGAAACATTCAAATGAATTTAGATGTTTACAATATATTTTGATGTACATAGCATGAGTACTTTTATGAATTATTCTCAAAATAATATATGTTATCAATGATTAAAAATGTAAATAGTAAATGATATTATTTGTTATTACATGTAAATGAGTTAGGTCTAACGCCACTATGAGCAGGACATGTAGTGTAGTTAATATCTCGGCGTGTCAGCAGTGATGCAGGTCGTAGAAGTGTACTAATTTGAGGGAACCAACGGTGCTGACAAATCAGTAAACATATTCGCGGAGATTTCGAGAATGTGGCACTACAAACGCAACTGTACCAAGCAAGATGCGGCACCATAGTCTGCTGAACCATCCGTGCCCCCCATAACAGCATGTCTCACCGAGGCATGTTATATAAACAAAACCCTCTCTTATGAGGGCGTATAACCTTTACTTACGTCGGTTTTCCTGTTCACTATATTAATGTTTTTTCCTTAAAATTGATGTGCGTAGAGTTTCTTTTTGTTATTCCTACATTGTCTGCATACATGTGCCTCTTGTCTTCACTAAAACAATGTGTGATCATGAATGCAGGACACACAAACACTGTGAAAACTGTGTATTCTACAGTAACGTTTTGAGTTCGTGTATCATTACAACATATATATATATACTTATAATCTGTGTTTTGTTGGTTTCTTATTTTTATTTACAAACAATGTATCCAAATGTGATATTTGCAAAAAGATATTTGTTATTTACCAAAGCTTTTTGATACAGAGTTTTAAGTGTGCAGTCAGTGGTTTAGTAAAAGAATTGATGGAAGTGTTAACTAAACTACAAAATCACTCGTTTGTTAGAGTTGTTTTTATACTAACTACGGTATCTAAACATAAACACATCCAGAATAGGAAATAAGTCAACACATGCGTCCTTCTGCATCTAAGAACATACCGCAATAGTTGTTACAATAAGTTCAGGGGGAAGCTTTTTATTCCTCTGAAATAAAGTACAGTGACAAAAGAAATTAAATTATACATCAACACGTGCATATTGAAATTAATTAGTAAATGTTCAGAGATAACCAAGGTAATACACTAAATGTCGATATCGATATCGTGTGGATGTTTAAATGATGGTCGGATCGACCTGTGGATGGAACAGTGACTGACCAAAGATTTCCTGCTCCACTGATTGCATATCTACTGTCATTTCTTCTTGGTTATTTCTGAACATGGTACAAGAGAGGTGACAACATAAGCCGTTAGTGGATTGTAACAACACTAGAAAGATAAAACTTGACGTGGTGAATTAAAGAAACGAAGATATCATAAACAGATATAAAGAAACACTTATATATGCATGCTTATCCAGTAATACATAAACATCATAATACCATTTTAAACACTCATGCAGCTCAATATGAAGATGAACAAATTCAAATTCCAAATTATATAAAAAAATACTATAAAACGTGGAATCCATTAATATTAGTACTCGGAAAACAGAATAGGCAGAACTGTCGAGGATATGTGCTTGTGCATGTGTATTGTTGAGTACTCTATATTATCACGGTTTTATTACCCACGTTCCATCACATTACCATGTAATCGATATACGGTTCCATTTCACCGATGTGTTATGTGAAACATTCCCAGTTCTATCGTTTGATAAACGTTTGTCGTAATTTTAGTAACGTTTCTCATGAATTCAAATCACAGCATTGCTCCTCTCTGAAAATATTGCAAGAAGATGTGAAATTTATTTTTGTTCTTGATTTACGTTGTTTTTTTATATTTTAGGGCAAATAGATAATATTGCACATTCATCAATGTCGCAAACGAGGTACAAAGACCATTCATTTGCATTCATGAGTTTTACATTACCATTTCAAGGGGAAAATATGCACACAACGATCCATGATTTTTAACTCCTACTTTGTTCAAGAACTTCATGTCTGTGAACGCTGACAGCCATGTGTTAAATCAAATATCTTAAAAACATCACCTCAGGTCATACGAATTATTCTTCGTGAAAAGATTTTCAAGATAGTAAAATTCACTTGACACAGATTGTCACGCAGTAGAAATGGTCTCTTTTCAAACAGATTAAATTAAACATACCCATAAATCTCTTCATGTTCCATGTGAGTTCTTTTCGCCTAGATGTTTTCAAGATAGTGTCTTTCAGCAACACAGAAATATGCAAAAGTATGAATTACTATACTAAGAAAACGCTCCTCCATTCAGGAATTGTGGATATCATATGGACGTGTGGGTTGTATCAGTGTAGTTTGTCCAGTTCATGCGTTCCTATATAAAGCATTAATGATACTGATGCAAAATATATACCAGGTAACACAATGACATTACGACTACTTTTGTGCTTATAACATGGATACAATGACAGTTTTCGTAATGACCAAATGCCTGTCTGTTCAGAACCTCAGTTTTTCCCTAAAGAAAGTAATCAATAATCTGTCATCTCTGACCTTTGAAAAAACATAAGGAGAAATTAAGAAAATCCATCAGTAGTAATTTGCCCAAAGGAAAGGAGATTTGTACCGGAGGTACCAAAGGTCATTCTCTGAAGAGACGTAATGTATAATTACAGACCGGAACACCGGGGGGATCTGTTGGTACACTGCTTATACTACAAAGATCGTTCTTATTCTAAACTAAAACTCATCAAGAGATTAAATTAGTTTATTCAAGATGGCCCTACCATGGGGTACGTAAAAGAACGAGCAAGAGGCATTTGCTTTCTTATGGAGCCATTTACTTAGGAGTGTCATTACAAACATATTTCCGCGTTTGTTCTCAAGAATCGGAAACATATATATTAACCAAATAGGTTTTGACCAGCCTATGTCCTGTGTCTTAATTCACGAAATGCATTAGGACAGTCACCAACAGATGATGGCGTGGGCGCGTAATGCAAAGATAGGGAACGTAAACGTGCAATATTTAATTATTATGTTTCGGTTTCACAGAAAGGGGATTGGTACTACTCAGGGAACTGATGCATTAGTGACAAAAACGCAATTGTATGTTGTTGTGTGAGTGCTGAGTGTCATGATTAATAATTAGAGGTCACTACGGAACACAATAAGCTTGTTTTAATCTTCAGGTCGATATTTGGTCTGTCACATTATAATAGACTTCTTAAACGTAATTTATATAGATTGTCCCTACGATCCATTACAGGAGTAATTTATCATATTCATTTTATCGTGTAAATATCTCCAAAACCTCTATTTGATGATGATTGTGTGTGTTCGGTCTTTGAATGACGTGTTGCATGTTCTGACTATAGCCTATTGTCTGACAACCAGCACACATTGACAACACTGTACAGGCTAACCATGTACCATCTGCAACAATATGTTGGAACATCAAAGACTGTCTCTCCTTCAAGATGGTTCTTACCATTATTGTTGTGACTATGAGAGTTTTGTTACCAAATGGGTTCCCATCTGCATAACCTTGTAGGTTAGTAAAGTTGAGTCCTCTATCAACACTCCACTCTCCCACCTGTCAACAAATTCGTGTCAACTATCAATCTTAGAACAACCGTATGAAACCGGAAAATGTAATGTTAAATAAATTATAAATTGGTTTCATTTAAATGTTTTATCCATTATACGCCTGCATAGCATCATGTTGTACAGCCAAAGCCACGGTGTTCACTCAACGTGTGCCCTTACTGAAAAAGATAGTATGTTTATATTCATCAGGAAGAATACCAATTCCAAGGGTAGATCTTCTGTTACGTTGCCTCACACAATTATAAAAGAATACGTAATTCTCTAAAATATCAGTAAAACGAGCACTTACTTTCTCTAAACCTTTGGGTTTAAGCTGTAACAAATCTAATTTGAATACAAATCGTCGACCCCTATCCAACCGGACTTCTCCAGTGAGACCTCTTATTGTGACCTGGAACATAGGGGACGATGTCATGTTAATGTCAGTACCAATTAACGGTAATTCGTGAACCCGCTAATTGTAAAAATCACCACAAAACGCAGGAGAGATTTTCTAAAGACATATATATATATGAAATCAATATATGATAGGCATTTTATTTCACATTTATCGATTTGGTGATTTATCAGATACATTTTCCATGTCCTCTTCATTTGTGTACTAGGTCTTTTTGTGTTACACCACCATTGTAACAGATGCATTTTAAACAATTCCGATTACTACAGCAACTGATGTATGACTTTTGACATCACAAAATGATGAATGTTCGTGATCAATGTTATGTAATGATTAAGGTATTTTAAAATTGCCACTTACATATAACAACAGGTTTTTTTCAAATTATGTAGGGAATATTATAAGTGCATCTGTTGCGCTAGGTATGTTGATATAGTGTTGAAGGCCACAGAGCAGGTTGTGTGCTTGAAATCAATAACATAGCCTAACCCACATGTATATATTACACATACTTGTTGAGCGTATATTACTGCATATACCTGTTTTAGATATGAGTATAGGTTTGGGCCAGAAGGCCAGGGCAGGGGGTAGTCACAGCTTGTGTTGACCGGGCGCAGGATGGATTTCTTGTCGAGTTCATGTAAGGCTTTCGCGAGTAAATGCACAGCGTCGAATATCAAGGCGGCTTCGTGCTGAAAGACCAGTTTATTTGTCACAGAACAGCAATCAATGACAGTTGAACATACAAATTGACATTGAACACAAATGTCATTCTTTACGTATAAGATTATGAACAATATTTTCAATAAATATTAAAAGAAGTTAAAAAAGTGTCTAATCCTATATAATATTCTAAACATTAAATCCTATGCTAAGTATTCATTCCCTTTTCCCATTGAAAATGATTTAGGGAGCAACCATCTGATTTTCAGCGTGTTCGGGGCGGAATTTTGGCTTGAGATCTGCATTTATGTTTTTTAACGTTTAGGAACTCAATTATTCTTTTACAAAACAAAAAGGTGTTCCATTATATTTTTTGTAAATAGACAAAAAAAAGTAATAGTAATCTTTGGACACTTATCTGCAAGAAAGGGGCAAGTTATTTTTGTCCCTACCATGCGAGGCATTTGTACAGAAATTCGGTCAAAATGGGGCTTGATTGTTTTTGGAACAAAAGCATCACCACCCACCCCATGTTTGCTCCATATACATACTGAGTCAAAGGCGATAATTATATTGTCACTAAATTACATTTATAAGCTTCTTTTGAGGTGTTCTGTGAGGAGGAATGATACATAGTACTTAAAGGGGTTGCGAAATGCTAATACTTACTGGTAGGGATAAGTATCCACTTTTGTTGAGCATGACTTTACTTGTTTGAATTTCATAGACTTCCATAGCTTTCATGACATCCCTGACGTAATCGGTGTTGGGGTCTACTATGCGGAAGCCGGTTAGATTGACGTAGTTGTAGCGGTAGTTTTCCATATCTATAGACTCAATGTCCTGCAATGGTAAACAACATGCATGTGTAGGTTTCACGATTCCTAAATATCTTCATGTGTTGTCATTTAACACAATTTGTTATAAGATTATTAACTATTATTAATCTAGTTTGTAAAAGAATACTGAATTTTTGTTTCCAGTTGTAAGTTTTCTAGTGTTTGATAAAGATATTTTGGAACTGTTTCAGTGATAATACCTACAATGTATATATCATATACATGAGCTTTGGTATTGATACATGCGCGTGAGATGACTGTCTAAGACGGTACTTACCAAATTTGTAAGAATATAATGATGGTAGGGATCTATCATACCTTCTTGTAAGGCCTGAAAAAATAACATTTATATGTTTATATGAACTTATTTATTTTACATGTGCATGCATCAAACACCTCCTACATGCTACATTGGAAAAACGAAGATTTCGATAAAGATCCTTAAATAATTCAGTGTAATTAATTCTTGGATAATCAAATAGTGTATTCTTTAAAAATTGAATTTGTTACAAATAACACTGCAACTGTTTATCGATTATACATTTCACTACTGAACAAAGGGTGAGATTGATGAATGTAACAATCATGTATGCAGTGATACGTACCATTTTCATTAAGAGACTGGTATAGTTAAGGTTAAGATCTACAAGCATATTTGTCCATTTTTTCTCCTTGGCTTCCTTCAGAACGTCTCTCATGTTCCTATAGTCAACCTGGCGGACCATTATATCAAATGTTGTCTCAAAATTGCCACGAATAACGCTCTGAACCTTCATCAGATCTGAAATAAAGCAGTTTATGTGTAGTTGTGCTGTTATTTCATTCCACTATTTCATTCAATAAATAAATAGCATCATCTTGTTCACATGGAAGAAATTCTTCTCAAAACTGTTTGAAATCATACAACTGAACATACGAACAATCTCACTAATGTTTTATATCACATTAATCATTTTGAAACAAAAGTTTTGTTCAAGCTGAAGTTAAAGTGTATTGCTCAACTCTAGAAACCAACCCCAACATCGGTTGAGGCAAGTCTTCAAACGTACACACAAATTTTCCACACACTATCACACACACACACACACACACACACACACACACACACACACACACACACACACACACACACACACACACACACACACACAAATAATTAATAAATTAATTAATTATAGTTATATCATATTATATATATTAAATACATGAATAAAGACAATTCCCACTCACATCCTACATTGCAAAATACCACCACTTTGGTATTGAACGTATTTAGTGTTATACCACAGAAACGACAAGCCTACAGAAGGATAGGCATGCGGAAGGAGAATCGAGCATGCTGATCACTATTATGCCGGGGGAGCTTTCTTTAATAAATATCCGAACAACGTCTTGGTGTTATCTTCGTAAAGGTGATATTAATCTCAGAGTCTTTTAGAACGGCAGTGTTGTACGTTCGAACTTGGGCAATGCCAGTGAAGAATATGATGCTCATTTCCCCCTGGAGGTGTGATAAAGGTTATTCCTAAAATACCTATTTATATGGTTTGTCACAAAATAATCCAATAAGTGGGAAGTTTGGAATGTTTAAATTGAAATTACTCAAGTTCCTGAAATATCTTCTTAAAACGATCTCATTCTCGTAAAATCGTCATCCGTTTTTTTACAAAAGCGATTATACAATATAATTAGTGGTAAACGATCCTCTGTGTTCACCGCCTCCGGCATCGCCGATCAAAGAGAAGCCATGCAAAAGATGCTAATCCCCGATAATTAATTTGGCCTGAAGGATGAAAGTTCCCGATTGCTTACGGCTAGAAGGCAAGACACATTTCACAGGTTTGACTTGCATATTTGTTATTGATTCGGAAGTTAGTGCCCCGGGGGTAATATTCCATACAAACTGCATTCATGCTCTATCTGGGACAATGTTAGTATGAGTTTGATGATGTGCCGTTTGGATGCACCATCGCCCGTGATGAAACGCAATGGGCTTGAACAGGCACATCAATTCACTGTGGGTCATTTGATAGGGTCGAGTTGTTAAAAAGCGCATTGTCTGTTCGCGTGGTTGATATTAGGTCGGATTTTAAAAGTCGAGCGTTCTCCAGTCTGAAAGCCTCACAGAGCAATTCTAGGAAAATGTCTCAAAAGGCTGATTAATCTTCAGACATGGCCTCTTATGAAAAATAGGATAGTTTGTTTTCCAAATAAAAATTCTCATGATGAAATATTCAATATTCATACATTCTAATTCAAGTCAATTTCTGTTGAATATATTTTTTGCGCACTTTCATGTACTTAAATTCGTGTTACGGCCTTTATCGCCGAGAAAAAACGAAAGATGAACGTCTGTCGAATTACGCACGCTCAGGACAGATGTCTATTTGTGGTCCTCGTGGAGAAGTACATCAGACATTTCAGAGGTTGTAACTTCTAGAATCTAAACTACACACATATATTTCTGAATTTGTTATTTAATTGTACGTATTTAGAACCAATATATGGCAAAGTTACAAAATGACAGATGTAAGAAATACGTTATAGGATTATTGCTTACAGCATGTTATACAAAAGCGAAAACATTTTTAACATAATTCACATTGAATTCGGAACAACCTGACAGCACTGTAAGTAATTTAGAAATCGAAAAACAACCGTAGACATTCGGGTTAGATTTGGTCTTCAGCAACCCATACTTGTCGAAAGGGGATCGGGTGATCAGGCTTGACCTTGTTAATATATGTCATCCCATGCCAATTACTCAGATGATCGTGATGTCAGTCACTGGATTGTCTGGTCAAGACCCGATAATTTACAAATCGCCGTCATGTAGCTGGGATATTGCTGAGTGTGGCGTTAAAGAACAAGCAAACAACCTCAAAAATGTCTTACAAGAGAGTAAGCATTCACGAAACTCAATATCACCCTACTGGTGTCAGAAACAAGCCAACATGTGCCTACCCTCGGTGTTTCCATAGATGACCAGCATCTGTTTCCACCCGTAGTATCGGATGAGGTCGGTAAAGGCTTTACTGAGCTGTTCAACATTTGGATAGATGTTGATGGTCTTGTCCGAGAGATGGTCAGCGGCGGTGTCCAGTCTTAGCTCTACATGGGGAATCTGGACAGACGTACATAAGGAGTTGACGAAGCCAGCCAAGGTGGGGTCCTTGGGTCCGAATGTTGCTACTGTATTCCACTCTACCAGATGACATACTGTGGATGAAATCGAGATAAGAATTAGTGAGGTGGGGTTTGAGGTTTACATTTTTATAACTTTTGAGGAACAATCAAGGAGTGAGTGAGTGGGGTTTTCGGCCGGTATTAGCAATATCCCGGCAATATCACGGCGAAGGATACCGGAAATGAGCTTCACACATTGAACTAGGGCCTGCGGCGTGACGAGCGAACGGTTTAACCACAAGGCTTTCCAACCGCCCCTACAATCTACGAAGATTTCAAACAACGCCATACGACTCTTGTTTGATCAGTGTACAACATTCAAGGCCTCAGCAAAGCTTTCCAAACGTTTTATGGTAACCATGTGGACATTTCCAATTTTGACGCATGCTGTCAAACATGGTGTCCGATGAAATTCCCTATTTTGACTATATGTTCCGGTATTTGTTTCAGGTGAACAATTGACTTGCTTCTGCGTGTGTTTTAGACTGGTGCTACCGACGGGGCAGGATACACTTACCATTTAGCGAACACCAGGTATCGTCACTATTTGATAGTGATTCAGTTACACATGCTCATAATATAGTCGGAATCTTACAATAGGCTCTTCTTTTAGTAAATATTTCTTATGAGTATGGCAATAGTTTTTGGTCGCTTTTATTAAACCTCGCTTTCAAAGTTGTTAAACGTATATAGCGACTTGCATGCGCGTGTGTGTGACTGCTTGTACTAGTCTGGACTTTTGTCGCTTTTTTATTGTTAGCCCCCTGAGATACCGCGCAGCAGTTTAACATGGGTATCCTACTCAGATAGCCCCTGATTTATCACCTTAATGACGAGTGTCCAGAAGGGTAAAAACAAGTACCATCTCTTGACGTCTAATGATATTGAACCACAGACATTCCGTTTTCATTGAGGATCCGGGTTAGAGTAGGTTTTGAGCATCCCATGCTTGGTATAATGATAGGCGACTATAATTGTCGCGACTAACGGGGTCGGATGGTCAGGCTCGCTGACTTGGTTGAAGCGTGTCATCGTTTCCCAATTGCGTGGATCAATGCTCATGATATAAATCACTTGATTGTCTGGTCCAGACTCGATTATTTACAGACCGTCGTCATACAGCTGAAATATTGTTTGCGTTGGCGCTAAACAACAAACAATTATGCCTTGATAGCAGTTGCACTATTTTTCAAATTTGTCGTATAAAATCAGATTAGAATATAATAATAATTATTTTTTGAAATGTTGGTAAATTGCTCTTCTTCTTATTTTCTTTCAGTTTAGATTGTGAGAACATTACTGACAGTGTGTAAATGTCTATACATATGTCATTAGTGAGGGAGTGAGTATGTGTTTACGCCGCTTTTAGCAATATTCCAGCAATATCACGGCGGGGGACACCAGAAGTGGGCTTCACACATTGTACCCACTTTTATCTATCGTTGCAAACGTGCGTATAGTTTACAAAATCATATTTTGCTGCAAACACAGTCCTCTTAAAAGTCTTAAAACATAAAGTCTATTCCAAAGGTTTATTGTTCAATTTTATCGGTGACAATAAATGGTTTCTAAGCATACGTCCTGTTTTTAAAATCAATTTGATTTTGTTTTTTCAATCGTGTGTTGTGCTTTTAAACTACCACTGATTTTTTACAAAAGCAGGGAGTTGTTTTATCCTTTCTTTCATCCCTCAATTTAAGAACTGGGCCAATGATGAGCTTCTCCACTAAGAGCTTTCATTTGTACTGAACACATCACAGAATGTACGACTGTTCCTGAATGAGTGGGGGTCGACTACTCAAAGGACAGAGTTACGGTGAATAAAACAGTTATACTCTGACCACAGTATGATATGGACAGTGACATTAGTCCAATGGTGTGACACTTCAAAATATTTCTGACGGGCTAAAGCGAGTTACATATATTTGGAAATACAAGAGCATCCACTTACTTCTATTTCCTTCTCAGAAAAGGAGAGGTGACTTGAAATAGGATTTAATGTAGCGTTCAAGATTATTGCACTTATATAGCGACGTGCATGCAGGTGTGTCCGTGTTTTGCTGCTTGTCCGGACAAATGCCGATTTTATAATGCTAGCCCACTGAGATCCCATGCCGCAGTTTAACATGAATACCCCACTCAGACACAGTATAATGACTCCGAGCCGACCAGTCCTTGGTTTAGCCCCTTCATGCCGAGTGCAAGGCAGGGTAACAACAAGTACCATCTTTTAACGTCTTTTTGTATGACGCGGCCGGGGATCGAACCCCGGACCTTCTGCTCTCCGTCTTCTGGCGGATGCTCAACCACTAGACCACAGAGGCGGTCCCTTTTAAAAAGGAAGATTGGTTATAAATAGAATAAGCAGCTAACGAAGACGGATATGAATGTTTTGCCGGGTAGTTTATGTATTATGCATGTATTAAGGGGAGATTATTTCATCTTCAGAAGACATTATTCTGTACCTGGGCAAATCGCCACATAATTTAATGTGGTCGAGGAAACGTTTACTTAAACTGTAGTGTATCAGTACCTCCGATCGGTTGTGTGAGTGAGTGTGTGGAGTACGGCCGCTTTAGAAACAGTGCAGCTACATCATGCTTCGTGTGAGTCATGCCAACGCAAACAGATCCAGAGGGAATTTTCCAAAGACACGCTGGATATTATATTCCTGCACTCTGAGTAGTGGTGCATTAAGGTATAATGAATTCAGAGTCAATGTTCGTTTGGTTTTACACATCATCATTGTTTTCAATCACCCACGTGGAAGGATACATCCCAATCATCATTAAACATATTGACTGGCAATACACAGCCACCAGTGTGACCAGGATGCACGATGTTCTTTTTCAAAATGTTGTTATTTTTGTGTGTGTGTGTGTTAACTTTGTGGATAATTAACTAATCACACAATATAGTCACGTCATCAGATGTAAACGTCTGGTTTTATAATAGTGGTAATAATATTTGTTCTACTTTCTCACGTGTTGTAACAATGACTTGATGTATAGATTTGCTCTGTTCACAAACTCACGAATACAATACCAGACATGGGATACCATATCTTTGCAAAGTTACGTTTTTGTTATCAAATTAATCACTCAAGTATGAGTTCATTTTGGAAAAGGGCAGTTAAAGCGAATAATGTTCGCTTTTATTCAGGTTAACAATCCAAGAAACATCAATTAACTACATTTTCCCTGATGTTCATTGCCACCAGAGATAACTAAAATATTATTGTGTCTAAGACTTTAAAAAGAAATTCCATCAAATTCCATTTTCTCCTGGAAAATTAGTTTTCGAGGACCCTGTTTCCACCAATTTCCTCAATAATTGTAGAAAGCAATGGCCATTATTCATAATTTATTTCTACCGTGCTACTTAAACGGCAGCAATAAAAAAAACGAATGGACATGTCATCACTTCCTTAAGCCCAGGGTACCTATTTACTGATACGCTTAACCCCAAGGGATTCCTACATTCCAGTTATCTCAAGTCGCCATTTGTGTTTAAATTGTCTTTATCCTCGTCTAAAGTCGTTGTTTCTCAGATTGCGAGTACGATGCATTTGCACATGTCCCATCCCAATCCCATCACCAACAGAAACCACCCTTCCCCACCCTTCTAATACCACCAACAGCCTCCCCTCCTTACCTTCATCGAGGACTGTCATGTCTCAGCAGCAGCTTCCTATAGGGCCGTCGGTATTGATAAAGTTCCATTTCGTCGGGTGCCAAGTGGGCATACGTTGACATTAGAAACGTGGAAACAAAGGTCGCACCTTTCTGGGTGTATTCCCCAGGGCTCCTAGGTTGGTTCTACTGGCAAATTTGCGAAGATGGTTGTCAAGTGATTCTTTTCTCACACGCTAATGTAAATAATTGATATCCCCATCTGACGTGTGAACACTTATATCGCTTCCTCCCCACATCCCACGGACGTTCAGATTCACGCCCACTGCATTCTCTTGGGTACAGACGCTTAAAGTTATATGGCTTTTAAGAATTAACATGAGCATGTAGGGCACGACAAAAGCAGCAATGGTTCAACGGATAATTGGATATCATAGTTGCATATGGAATTGCAAATGTCATGATTTCCCAGTGGGACTGAGCCGCAGTTTCTGTTACAGATGCAGAGTTTCTACAGATACATTCAGGGGAAATCTCTACATACGGGAAATCATTTTTTACGAACTCAAAGGTTGGATTTTATCTCCAAAATTGAAAGTAAAAGAAGAACAATGTTGGCCAGTGACATTTTGGTTTGGTATAACATGACGGTCTTGGACTTCAAAATTCCATAGAACATGTTGACAGAAGTACATCGGTAATTTTGAAGATATCAAGTTATGTTCACTTACATTCTGAGGCATGAGTTACGGGTGTCTCAAGTTTACATTCTGAAAGCATTATGTGCAGGTGTATCAAGCTTACATTCTGAGTTGCGGGTGTATCAAGCTTACATTCTGAAAGCATGAGTTGCAGGTGTCCCTCTCTAATATTCTGAAAGCATGAGTTGCAGGTGTCTCAACCTTACATTCTGAGTTGAAGGTGTATCAAGCTTACATTCTGAAAGCATGAGTTGCAGGTGTCCCTTGCTTATATGCTGAAAGCATGGGTTGAAGTCGTCTCAAACTTACATTCTGTAAGCATGATATGCAGGCGTATGAAGCTTTCATTCTGAAAGCATGGGTTGCAGGTGTCTCAAGCTTACATTCTGAGGCATGGGTTGAAGTCGTCTCAAACTTACATTCTGTAAGCATGATATGCAGGCGTATGAAGCTTTCATTCTGAAGGCATGGGTTGCAGGTGTCCCTCGCTTATATTCTGAAAGCATGGGATGCAGGTGTCTCAAACTTACATTTTGAAAGCAGGAGAGGCAGGTGTCGTCTCAAGCTTATATTCTGAAAGCATGAGTTGCAGGTGTATCAAGGTTACATTCTGAGTTGCAGGTATATCAAGCTTATATTCTGAAAGCAGGAGATGCATGTGTCTTAAGCTTACATTCTGAAAGCATGATTTGCAGGAGTC